TTTTTTTATTAGTAACGAAAAAAGTAACGACGTTATATTTTCTTTAGTAACGAGTAACGAAATTGACCTCGTTACTTGTATCGTTACTTCTTTGATTATACATTTTGATAGGTCACGACCGTCACGGTCAATAAGGTTATAGTAAATTTCGGATCGTAGTGAAATAGCCCAAACTTGTTGTGGAAAAATTCCTAGGATCAGTTTACACCTAGTGACTTATTTACATTATTCACGTTGGGATTCCCTGTAGCACTTGGGTGGGAAATTCCTACTGGGAATCTGAACGTACTCATAGATGTTTCGTTTTTTGACTTAACAGTTAAGTGAGTGCTCACTGTTATTGGTATATTCTTTGAACGCAGCTAATGATTGTGTAGTAAGAGCGGAAGAAAGAAAAACGGAATATATTTAAGTAAATATGATTCTAATCTAATATAGTCGGATATATATAATTATTTAAAATATCCCTCCTAAAATCTTAATAAAAATATACTCATTAGAGTATAATTAATACTATTAATGCGGATAATTCGCGTGCTTAAAAGTTAAAATAGTGAATTGTTTTTAGCAGTGAATTTGTGTTTGTTTGTGTTTGTAAAGCAGAGAATTTGTGTAATTAAATCAGAACGTATGCATAGCGCTGCATCGAATCGAGACAGATATCTTAACCTCTAAAATCTCGAACTTTAACGTTTAATAACTTAATTCGCGAAGCCGACTACGATGTTTTTTGCCAGATTCATTCATTTCGTGCAAAAACGTGTCGAATTACCCTAATTTCATCAAAATCGGTGAGTAGACCAGTCTACTACATAATTACAAAAAAACGTAACGAAAAGTAACAATTTTTTTATCGTTACTTTTAAGTAACGGTAACGCGTTAGTTTTTAGAATCGGTAACGAGTAACGGTAACGAGTTACTTTTTACCGCAAATAACGGTAACGGTAACTCGTTACTTTTAAAAAGTAACTTTCCCAACTCTGCTCTATCATATATACACATGCTAGATATTTTGATTCTCATTGGGGATGGTTCTTATTTTTCTTATTTTTCGAAATATTCGTATTTTTTAATATGATTCTGACTTTTCTTTATTAATATGCTTCTTAATTATATTATTTTTCTAAGTATTATATTCTTATTCTTTTTATTTACATTCATGCTTTACTACTATATTACCATGTTATTATTATATATCGAGATCTAGCAGCGCCAAGTGTTTTTACATGAAAAATTTGTCTATTTTTAAATTAAATTTTTTCATTTTATACGATTAAGTCTTTAATTTTTTGTGGTAACACTTAAATTGAGCAAGGTAACGCAATGTTGTGATAATGTTTTTTATGTTTTAAAGGAGAATTAAATAACCACTACTTTAATTGGAAGAGGAAATTTCTTTGAATGAATTGTGATATAATAATTTCATTTAAGAGGAATTTAAACCATTTGGATTGGAATAGGAAGATTCTTCAATAAGTATACGTATACTTAGGTTTCATTGCATAAAAATTAAAGATGTTACCATTTGGATTAAATAAATAATAAAGATAGTATCACATGCAGGGTTGTTAAAAAAACATGTTTTTTTGTGTTTTTTTGAGCAACAAAAAAAACATGTTTTAAATAAGAAAAAAACATGTTTTGTTTAAAATGTTTTTTTATTGC